CTTGCTTTGGGAAAAAAGCATTTTAGGGAAATTGTGGGATGCTCATCAGATGAACTGAAATCCAAATGTCATTGATGTGATTTTCTGCAATTTAACATTATTTCTAGGAAGTTTTTTTTTTTTTTTTTTTTTTTTTTACAAATTCTAGGTCACCTAGGATGTGGTAGTGAATTACTATAGATAAACTGCTAGCACAGAAGTGTGAGGATGTCTCTCGGACCTGGAAGAAACCCTTCTTCTTCTGGGAGACACTCATCAGGGAACCTTTTTCAGTGCTGCCCCCAACAAGTGAGCAGGGTTCAGCCGTAGCCCCAACGCTGGGTCGTGGATGCACTAGAACATTCTGTCATGACCAAAGTCTGAAAGACATTCCAGAAAAGCTTCCCCCCTGTTCTTCTCTAGGTTCTGGATTACTCTAACCCCCAGGTGACCTGTGGGAAAAGGATGCAGAAGTTACAAACTGTGTCCATCAGGAAGCCCAATGTTTTGACCATGACAAAAACAAACAAAAACCCTGTGCTGGTGCCTAGAAATCCTAGGGTCTGAATTCCCCTTGTACTCCAAGACCTCATCCACTTCCAAGAGATAAACTGAGAGCCTGAGCCTTGTGGCAGGATAGGAGAAGGAACAGGTCTTCCTCCAGCTGTCAACAGCCCATCGATTGCTTGCCTGTGATGTCACTGTCTCCGCCCACACCCACAGTCCCACATCTACAGAGGTGGTGTCTTCCCTTCCTTTCACAGAGCACCACTAGGCATTCGACTTTCCCGACCAATTCAGGTTGGGGAAAACAATCACTCTTTTCGGTTAATACTTGCTATTCCTTTGCATTCTTTCTCACTCAGACTCAGTTCTTCATCCATGACACGCCCTAACAACTACCATTGCAGCAAAGTAAGTGGATAACATGAAGTTTCCAGAGGGAGACTGCCTAGATCTGAATGCTGGTTCTGTTTCTTACTCTCATCTTGGGGAAGCAAATGACTTGTTTTGTGCCTCAATTTTATGATCTGTAATTTGTTTTATTAAAAGTATGTACCTTATAGAGTTGCTGTAAGGATTAAATGAGTTAATATGTTAAGTGGTTATAACAATGCCTCGTACACAGTAATCACTCCTTCAAATTTAGCTTTCAAATTGGTAATGAATTGTATTGCTACAAACGTCATCATTTATCACTGAGTCTAATTTTGTGCTGGGGATTATGTTAGGCAATCTGCATTCATTTTCTTGACTAAATAAAACCTGGGAGCCCCGAATTATTCACTCCACTTTCTAGATTAGGGAATTGTCTTTAGACAGGCTAAGTAACTTGGCAAAACTAGAAATTAACCAGATAGTCTAATTCCAAAACCCGTAATTTCAACTGTTTTTTTTTTAGTTTTCTTTTTTTTAAACATTTTTTATTTATTTATAATCATTTTACAATGTTGTGTCAAATTCCAGTGTTCAGCACAATTTTTCAGTCATTCATGGACATATACACACTCATTGTCACATTTTTTTTCTCTGAGTTATCATAACAGTTTGTGTATATTTCCCTAATTTCAACTGTTAATGATGAAATTTTCAAGATTCTCTACTCTGTATATTCCTCTCTATCTTCTCTCTCTTTTAAAGAGTTTGACTGGAGACTTCTTTCTATGGGAATTATTTTTCAGTTTACTGCAGCTTCTATAACTAAATGACACTTAGTATGCCTGAAATTCAACAGTAGCACCAACTGATGCCTGCCGCTCCGATGGCCCCTCCAGTGGCAGGGAGGGGATTCTCCTAAGAGAACTGCCCTCTTCTGAGCCCAGGGATCACTGTGGAGTGCCCTGCTGGAAGATTCTGTCCCTGAACCTGTGCAGGTATGACATTTACAGAAGTGGGCCAATTCGGGGGTTATCCACCCTTCCAACTGAAATCACCAGAATAAAAATAATTGTCTTCATTCCATGCCTCTTTTTTAGCCCTTTCCACAGAGGTGTCTCCATCAGCCTCCCATTTTAAGCTGCTTTACAACAGGGCCTTCGTTCACTCAGTTAGGGAGGAGAATGAGACCTGGGACATGGGAAACTGGAGCAATGAATAATTTTGGGGGTGAGTAGGGAATACTGGGGCACAAATTCAGGGTCAATTCCAGGAAAATATATCTGACTCTTTCTTTTGTTTGTTGAATACATATTTATTGAACAGCTACTATGTGCCAGACCTACGATCAGACATTGGGATACAAGCATGAACCCAAAAAAGTCTCTGCTCTCATGAAGCTTCTAGTTTTGCATCCAGTATATCTCACACAGTCCTGGATCCTGGGGTTACAATGTAAAAGGATATGAAGTCCAGTCTCTCCAAGGCCATATTTGCCTGTGAGGAGTCAGATGGGGCCAACATTTCAAGCTGGATTATAAGGACAAAAGTTGGGATTTCTTTAAATTGATGTAGGACCACAAAGAAAATAAATGATTTATCTTTCTGGAAAGGAAGGGAGGACTTCACAGAAGTGGTGTGGTTTTAAGTAAGATTCGTAGGAAAAGAAATAATTCTCTGGTAGACTAGACAGAGGGACCAGCATAGGAAAAGTCCAGGGGCTTATGACATTTTTGGAGTTTAGAAAAGGTTCAGTAGAGCTGGAAAGTACAGTTGAGGGAGGATGTGAATAGCTGAAAAGGAAGATAAGTTTCTCCTCCTCCTCCTCTTTACCCTTCAATAAAAGTGTGCAAGAGGAGCAGAAGCTGCTGTTCTTATAGCAGAGGGAGGCTTGGTGTTGGCTGTGTACAAGTGGTAGCTGCTCATAGAACATCTCACTCATTTCTTTGCCGTGGACCCAGCAGTTCACTCGGCATCTGTTTAAGAAGAAGTCACCATCATCGGCATCAGAACCCAAACCAGATCTTTCTCCTACCTGAGTACAGCGAGGATTTTACTGCCTCGGCATCCAGCATCACCCTCAACACTACCCAGCAGGACAGACATCTGTCTACGCTCCGAGACTTTGCTCTGCTTTGTTTCTGACTGACTTATGCCCTGTGACCATTCTTATTCAAAATGTATCAGGAAAACCAGTAGCCCAAAGAGACTCTATTCGGGCAAATAAGACAGACAGTGGTAAGGGAAGCCTCCCATACTGCTATTTGGAACACGGGGCTGGACTGAAACAGAAGAAGACTTCTTGTGTCAGGACAGTGATGAATGGAACTGTAGGAGTCAGCCTTGCAGATGAGAAGAGTAGACCATGGAAGGTGGAGAGACAGCTCGTGCAAAGGCTCAGAGGGGGTCAGAGAGCATTGGTTCAGTGATGCTGGAATGAAAACCAGCAGGGGTGAGGGGACTGAAGGCCAGCTAGATCTCCAGAGTCCAGATTGTGAAATACCTTGTGTCAGGTTAAGATATCTAAATTTTACCATGAATGTAAAAGAGAAGGATAGGGAATGTGTGAAGGGACTGGGAGAATGATCAAATCTATGTATGATGCATGTCACTCTAGTGGCAATGAGGAGGAAAAGGTGGAAGAGGACAAGAGGCAGGGAAGAAGGGTTCTTTTTTTAAAAAATTAAATTAATTAAACTTTTTAAATTGAAGTACAGTCAATCACATGTCAATTTCTGGTGTATGGCATAATGTCCCAACCATGCATATACATATGTATATTCATTTTCATATTTTTTTCATTGAAAGTTACTACAAGATCTTGAACATATAGAAGAAGGATTCTTAACCCTCCAGGCATCACATCAAAACACCTGACCATAGAAGACAGGGCTCCCGAGTTCGCTGGATCGGGCGCCTACAACAGAGGGTGATGAACTCTGGGGGAATAAGCTGAGCTGAGGAACCTATAAATTAGGAATGTGGAAATACCTAGTAGGTGGTTCAGAGAACTAGCTTGGAGCTAACGAGAGATGCAATGTGAATCGTGGATTGGATGACATTATCCAAGATGCATGTGCAGATCGAGAAGACAAGAATAAAAAGTCCAGAAATCAGGATAAAATAAGGAAGAGAAGAGGAAGAGCCCACACGAAAGACTGCAAAGGAGTGGACAGTACTGTGGGGATCAAACGTAAAAGAAAGATAACCAAGCAGTGTCCTTTACAATCAAATACATATCTTGTTCTACGGATCGTTTTCTCACAGACTGAGCCCCTTCGGAGAAGAGACCAAGACAAAGACTCTGCCTGGCTTTGCTCTCCGGAAACCTCAAGACCGGGGGTTCACATCTGGGCCAGCAGCCACTTCTTCTCAGGAGACATAGGGCCCCAGCGCCGACAGCTGCACTTTCATCTGCTGCCTGAGTAACAGCAGAGTTATTCACGGTCCCGGGTCTGGCCTTGTGTGGATGGAGACCCGGTTCTGCAAGATTTGGTGTGTCCAGGCAAGAAGCACTGATCTGTGGAGTAGCTTCCCAAAGGCCAGGACGGTCTCCAAAGGGGTCCAGGGCTAAATACAGGGAAGCTTTTGGAGGGTTTTCTTTGCAACTACAATTTCTGTTCCTTGTGTCTCATGTAGATTTAGTTAAAACTCCATTCATTTCGAGATAGGATTGTGAAAATCATCAGTTCATGTCCTTCTGCTATTTCAGTGTTCAAAGCCACGGAGTGAGGACCCGAGGGTTGAGAAGAGGGACTGCGTGGGAAAGGAAAAGGCCTTTGAGCCGCTGTGAGTGAAGTAACCTGCTTTACGTGAGGAAGGAACCGTTAACCAGAGATGATGGTCTGTGGAGAAAATCAAAGGAATCGTTTCCTGTTTCCTCCCCTGCAGGTCGCCACGAGGCAACCGTCAAATACCATCCCACTTATCTTGCTGGACACAACTGGCGCCGGCCTCAGCGGGGCGGTGCAGGAGGGCGCAGGGGACGGGGCAGTCCGACCGCGGCCGGACCATCCCCCAGCTTGGTCGAGGCCAACCCGGGCACGGCCCTCTTCCCAGCTTGCTGCTCAGACCACACTGGCCGCTCAGGGCTGGGGAGTCGGTGGACACCTGCAGTGGCTTCTGCAGTTTGAGATGAGGTTTATGAAGTTGGGGCTTCCTCACTTTTGTGATGAACTTTTTTGTGCTGTCTGTAAGTGCCTGCGCAGTGCTGTGCATTCACTGCTGGCACAGAAGTATCTAGATGTCTGTGAGGGGCTGGTGGCCTCCAGCGTCAGGGGAAACTGATCCTTCCTTATTCTGGAGACAGTGGACTCGGAGGGGCGATCTCCTTTCTCTGTGATGTTAACCCCGTGTGAATAATGGATCAGCTGGGGTTCCATTCCGGGGTCTTGTCGATACCAGTACATGCTCTCATGGTCCATGGTTTGATTACATTCCAGAGTGATCTTCTTTCCTGTCCCTATGACGGCATATCTTGGGGTCTGGTTAACATCGGCATTTGTGAGGCCTGAGAGATAAAGAATAAAATTGGCAACTGAGTCCAGGATGGGCCTGAATGCTGAAGCCAGAAGCAAACCTAATACAGAGAAAAATGCTTCTTCCTGATTTTAGAGAATTCTGTGTCTATGCCTTACCCGCACCCAGAAGGGAAAGGGCCACATAGCAGAGGAGCCTGACGGCCATGGCGCAGTCGGGGTGAGAAGGGTGTCTCCCGGCTCTGGGGAAGTGGGACGGGCTCTTAATGAAGTCGCTCAGACTGGGATGACGTAGTCCTTCTGGGCCCCGCAGCTGTCCTGTTGATACCGTAGTGTCGTCTAGACCCTTTTACCCATCAGAGCACTGATATTTTTGTCCACGTCTCTCATCCAGAGGAGGCTAGATGCTTTGCTGGTCTTAACTCAGGTCTCTGTTTTGACAAAACATTAAATTGCACCTGTATTACAAGCAACGAAGATGAGAACAGTAACGCTTCGAAAGCTCGTAATAGGAGGACTTGACCTGATCAGGGAGGTCGGCAGAGGCAGTGATGCTCGAGGTGAGTTCTGGGGGACGGGCTGGAATGAAGTCTGCAGAGCTGAGAAAGAAGCACATTTGGTGAGCAGCAGGCTCAGTCAGATGGGGTGCAGGGACCATCTGGCGAGGATTAAGTGGGACAACCCCTT